CTTTTTCATGATCCTCTTTCAAACTATGTTACTGATTAAAGGGACTTCAAATCAAACACAAATACATATTTCGAGCAACAACCTTTTCCTCTTCTGATAAGCCAAGCGATTCAGCTACAGCCGATTTCAAAGCAAGAAAACGTTGTGGATGAAGATCACTTAGAAGCTGTTTGAGTGAGGTGGCGCCGTGCGGCACTGTTACTTCGAATTCATACTCTCCTGGACCTACACGCTGAAAAAAAAAACAAACAGGTGAGCCAAACAACTTTTAAAAAAAGTCTACTTTTTAATCCTTTTTAACGATAGGTGCTTCGTTCCAGATTTCTTTGAAAAGCTTTCAGTGATGTTGCCGATGAAGTGAGCAGACCTTCACTTCAGGGACGTACTTCCTCCAAAAGCGTTTTCCGAGTTCTTCCGCAGTTATCCGGCCCCTCAAATAATTAACAATTTCTTGCCATTTCTTTTTGATCTCAATATCATCCAAGGAATCGAAGACCACGGATGTCACTTGGGTAAGTGCTGACACGACGACTTTGTCGAGTATCAAGTCTTTTATCTGAAAATTTTGATGACATCGTACAAGAGTGGAAGGTTGAACTTAACCTGCTGCTTAATCATTTTCACCAGTTCTGACTTTGGGTAATTACATCAATAATTCTAATGCTTCGGCAAACACTCGTCATGGTATTTGTTGTATGTTTAATTTTCACACATATGTGCTTTTTGCAAGTCGAAAAAGCATCATAAAAGATTTTATTCGTGCATGAGAATGTGCCCAGAGAATTTGTTTCCAAAATCAAGAAACCCAAGAAGCTCAAATTTTAAAAACCTAGCTTTTAGTCACCTATTTAGGCCACAAATCTAAACCAGCCCACATCTCAACCACTCTTCTGAGTTATGCAATGAGAATTAATTCAGTCTAATCTAATAACTGGAAGACCAAAAAAGGTATTAACCGAAAGTTATGAGTTTTCAATTCATCAGATAATTTCAATGTTAGACCAAATTTCAAGCTTCGCTTTAATTTAAGTAGTAACCTCGGATTTTGACTAATTTTATAAATCGAGAATTCAGAAGATGGAGAACTGGAAATTTTGGTTTTCAAAATGTTTCAAAACAAGTGTTCGTGCAATAGATCTCTTTTCCCATTCTGATCTTCAATTGAAATTTAGGCTGATTTGAAAGTTTCAAACAGACAAAGCTTACTGAGTTTGATAAAACAATCTCAAGTAATGGGACGTAGAATCCCTTGCTAGTGGTGTTAGGGCATCTTCACCCCCCAGACATTTATCTACAAGCATGTTCAGTGATGCTATTAAAGATTTTCTAGCTTTTTCTGTCTGGTTTCGTGACAACTTTTCCATTCAATTCTTCGGTTCTTTCTACTCTATTACGTCGTCCGTTGCGGTGATATTTGAGGTAAGCGATGCAACCTTTTTGTAAATCTCGAGTATTTTTGATTCATATTGCCTACGGTCTGCTTCGATACCAGCAATAGTCCGCTCCACTTCTGGCAACTGATACTGGCGACTCAGCTTTCTCGCTTCGTAAAGCGCAGTTTGGATGAAATCGGTCCGTTCAAATTTATTTTTATATTCATTTAATGTTCCTTAAAAAAGCAATAGATGAAAAATAATAGCGGGCGCCCTTCCATCTTGTTTTCCTTCTGTCCAGTAATCCAGGCTAGAACCCACCGGGCTTGCCGGTACGATAATGCGTTTCTGCACTAAACTCGCTGATTGCTAACAGCAGAATGATTCCTGCACTCTAGCCTAACACTTGGGCTCATATTGGCCGTGCTCTGGCCCCTCCCGGCACGCAGGAGAAAAGGCGTTGGTTGGGATGGTGTTGCA